GCCGTGGCGCCGTGACCAGGGCCGCAGGCTGCACAGCCCTCTGTTCCCCCGTTTATCAGGAGGACATGTATCTGGGCCAAGCTCCTGGGAGGAAGACGCCCGCTGCAACCTTGCCCTGTCCCTCTGCAGCTGCTACTATGTCCTAGGGATGCTGTTCTCAGCATCTTTTCTGCCCAAAGTGACACGGAGTGAAGGACCGAGGCCAGATCTGGGTACCAAGTTTCTGGGGTGGCTGTGTCTACCCTGAGCCCTTCGGGGGCCTCGCTGACCAGAGTCGCAGTGCTGGGACCTGGAAGTGCGCAGGGAAGGGCGGTCTGAGGTTTGCACAGCAGACGACCACCCTAGTGACACTGCCAAGGGGCACTGGCTGAGGAGCGCCAGTGAAGGGTGGCTTCCTGGGTTTCTGAGCCATGCCGTGTCCTGCCTGAGTGCCGGGGTGGCGTGGACAGGAAGCCTCTGGTAATGCTGTGCCACGTGCCCTCCCCCGCAGGCCAATGTGGTGTGTGTGGTGTACGACGTGTCCGAGGAGGCCACCATTGAGAAGGTGAGTGGGGGAGCGAGTGTTCGTCCTGCGTCCCTGCTGCTGGCACCCAGCTTGGTCATCGTCTGTTCTCCGCTCGGACCCCAGGGGCATGCCCAGCTGATCCAGGCGCTGGGGTGACTCTCACCCGTCGCCAACCCCATCTCTAATGGGTGCTTCAGGGAGCTTCTTGGCCACAAGCCCCCACAACTTCCCCAGGGAGCTCCCTGTGACCCCGTCTCCCTGCAGAAAGCATGAACAGCCATGAGTCTAAACCACTTAGGCTTGCAGAGGGGCTATCCCTAGCTGCTGACCCCAGGTCCCTTGCGGGTGTTGGGAAACTGCTAGGATCAGATAAGGCCACACCTGTAAGGTGCATTCTCCGCTTGTTCCCAGTGACCGTGACTTTGGCCCTCAACTCCCCCCCCATCTCTCTCGGGTTAGGTTTAAGTTCCATCTGAGAGGTGTGGGTTGGGCGGCTCCCTCACCTCACGCCAGGCCTTGCCTTTCAGATCCGAACCAAATGGATCCCACTGGTGAATGGAGGGACAGAGAAGGGGCCCAGGTAATGGGCAGTGCCCAAGGGGCTGGTCGGCCTCCTCCAGCTCCCTCATCCCTGATGACCGTGGGCCTCTCTCCAGGGTCCCCATCATCCTGGTGGGCAACAAGTCGGACTTGAGGCCAGGGAGCTCCATGGAGGCCGTGCTGCCCATCATGAGTCAGTTCCCTGAGATTGAGACCTGTGTGGAGGTAAGCAGGCACGCACAGTAGGGCCAGGAGGGGGCACGGGGGTGGAGAAGAGAAGGGCCAGGGCCCTGCAGCAGGCACTCATGTGCTGGTGGCCTGGGACCTTAGGACAGGCAAGCTTTCTTATTGAGGACTTCCTTGGGACGGGGGCTGCTGAGCCCCTGTGCCTGCATCTCCGAGCCTCCCAGCCTCGGGCACTCTCTGAGTCTGTCCCCGTGGTTCCCAGTGCTCGGCCCGGAACCTGAGGAACATCTCGGAGCTGTTCTACTACGCACAGAAGGCCGTGCTGCACCCCACAGCTCCCCTCTATGACCCTGAGACCAAGCAGGTGAGCAGCTGGCGTGGGCGGGGGTGGCCAGCAGGTGGGATTGGGGGAACATGCTGAGCTGGCTGTCCCCACAGCTGAAGCCCGCGTGCACCCAGGCCCTCACACGCATCTTCAGGCTCTCAGACCAGGATCTGGACCAGGCGCTCAGTGATGAGGAGCTCAACGCTTTCCAGGTGGGCCCCATCCGCCTCCTGGTAGTGCCCACCCTTTTTTGGCCGCAGCCGGGCTCCATGCCATTAATGAGGACAGCTGGCTTACTAACAGCAACGTTCTCTTGGAGGCAGAAATGCTGTTTTGGGCATCCCCTGGCTCCACAAGCCCTGGAGGATGTCAAGATGGTGGTGCGCAAGAACGTGGCAGGCGGGGTGCGGGATGACCGGCTTACCCTGGACGGTGAGCCCTGGCACCCTGTATCCTGGTGTGGGGAGGGGCTCAGGTGATACCCGGTGTCACCTTCTCTGCTTCCCGAACAGGCTTCCTCTTCCTGAACACACTCTTCATCCAGCGTGGCCGCCATGAGACCACGTGGACCATCCTGCGGCGCTTCGGCTACGGCGACACACTCGAGCTGTCCGCCGACTACCTCTTCCCTCTGTGAGTGGGGGATGGGCTCTGTGTTAGATGGTGCCGGGCGGGTTGGAGCCTGGCTTGGGCAGAGGATGGCCTGGTTAGGAGGCACCTTGCTGTGGGCAGGCAGATTGGGACTTAATGCCGAGCAGGTGGCCCCTGGCCCCAGCCACATCTCCGCCTGCTTCTCTGCTGTGCTCAGTCAAGGGAGAGAGTTGGAGGAACTCTGGGGTTCAGTCAGACTCGCAGGGAGGGTCGGACTGCACCCTCTGAGCGTGGTGGAAACGGATGGCAACCCCACAGGCTTCATGTGCCCCCTGGCTGCAGCACCGAGCTCAACCACTTTGGCTACCAGTTTGTGCAGAGGGTGTTTGAGAAGCATGACCAGGTGAGGGCGCTGTCACCCTGCTGTGCTGCCTGTCTTGGTTTCCTATCCTGGCCCCCAGCCAGTGTCACCACAGCCCCTCTGCCTGCAGGACCATGATGGAGCCCTCTCGCTGGCGGAGCTGCAGGACCTATTCAGTGTGTCCCCAGCACCCCCTTGGGGCCCTCAGTTCCTGCAAGAAGTCCGAACCGAAGCAGGTCGGCTGCCCCTGCACGGGTACCTCTGCCAGTGGACGTAAGTGCAGCCCCCACCTGCCCCACTTAGCAAACAGCGCTGCCTTGTCATGATGCTGACTGTTCCCCTGCCCCCTTATACCCCAGTCTGGTGACTTACCTGGATGTCCGGCGCTGTCTGGAGCACCTTGGCTACCTGGGCTACCCCACCCTCTGCAAGCAGGACTCCCAGACCCATGCCATCACAGGTGGGCGCCCACCCTCACAGGGGTCTGGCCAGCTCCTCCCTGGCAGCCACTTACTCTTGTTTGTCCTTTCCATCCTCTCACAGTCACCCGTGACAAGAGGCTGGACCAGGAGAAGGGACAAACGCACAGGAATGTCCTTCTGTGCAAGGTGGTGGGGGCACGTGGCGTGGGCAAGTCCGCCTTCCTGCAGGCTTTCCTTGGTCGTGGCCTAGGGGTGAGTATCACTGTGTGCTGGGTGAGGGCCTTGGGGCGGGGGGGCGGGGGTAGGGGCTTTGGGAAGCATCGGGGCCAGCGAGCTTCAGGTACCTCCCTCCTCAGCATCCGGACACCAGGGAGCTCCACAAGACACCTGCCATCTATGCCATCAACACGGTGCAGGTCAACGGGCAGGAGAAGTACCTGATAGTGAGTGCTGGGGAGGGGGGTCCCTGCAATAGATCCCAGGTGCATGCTGGGCGGTGCTGTCCCAATGTGGCCGGGGGAATTGAGCTCCCTGAGGCCGCCCTCTGTCCAGCTCTGCGAGGTGGATGCAGACAGCCTGCTGTCCACTGCGTCTGATGCTGCCTGTGATGTCGCCTGCTTGATGTTTGATGGCAGTGACCCCCAGTCCTTTGCACTCTGCACCAGCATCTACAAGGCAAGCCTCCACCTACCCCAGCTCCTGTGGGCAGCATGGCTGAGTGGTAGTCCCCCAGCACCCTCACCTGCCTGCTCCGGGACTGTGCATCACGCGGCCCTTTCCCCGCAGCGCCATTACATGGATGGGCAGACCCCCTGCCTCTTCGTCTCCTCCAAGGCCGACCTGCCGGAAGGTGTTCCACTGCCTGGGCTGTCTCCAGCTGAGTTCTGTCGCAGGCACCGGCTGCCTGCCCCTGTCCCGTTCTCCTGCGCTGGCCCAGGAGAGCCAGGCACAGCTGTCTTCACCCGGCTTGCCACCATGGCCACCTTCCCGTGGGTACCAGCACCACAGCCCCTGTGGTGGGAGGCCTGCCCTGTCCCAGGGTACTGGTGGTCCCTGTCGCCAGGAGAGTGGCACAGCTGTGGTGTCAGATTGGAGTCAGTGAGGACTGCAGGGTGGGCCTTAGTCAGGTGCTGATGTCCTGAGAGGCCCTCTGGGGCCTGTCTCACCAGCTGCCCTGTGGTCTGGGAGTTCTGCTGTGCTAGACACTGACAGGTAGCAGCTCCGTGACTTTCCAGGACATTGGGGTGGTGGTGGTGAGGGGGGCACAGCAGCAAGCATCTGGATAGCACCCTGAGGGTGTCTCCAACCAGCCTCTCTCCTGCAGGTACCTGGTTCATGGGGAGCTGCACACCACCTCCTTCTGGCTCCGGGTGACACTGGGGGCTTTTGGGGCTGCTGTTGCTGCCATCCTCAGCTTCTCACTCTACAGGGTCCTGGTGAAGAGCCGATGAGGCCCTGGTGCCCTGCAGTCTGATCTCGGCCCCAGGGTCCCAGGGTGCTGGTGTTGGGCCACCCACTTGGTGGAGCTGCCCTCTATCTAAACTTGGCTTCTGAAGATAGCCTACTCACTGCCCAACCCCAGTGGTGGGCCCCGAGGTCCTGCCAGCCTGTGTCCTGCCCAGCATCACCCACCTGTGTGGGCATCACGTTGGAGAGACTGGGGTATAGGTGAGGAAGCCAGTGATCCTAGATCTGAATTCTCAGGGTTCCACCCATTCCTGGTCCCAGGCAGCCAGTGGGTCTGAGGGGAGTCAGAGGGCAGAGCTTTGGGCCACAGGCAGGGGGTGGGGGCAGGAAGTGACTGGGTCATTGTGCTGCTCCCCGCTCCATCAATGGGAGACTGGTCCAGGGCTGCACTCATGGAAGATGTGAGGTTGGGTTTGCTGATTAAACTTCAGTGTCTTTTCCATCTTAGACCCTACTTTCTGACGGTGGTTTTTCTTAATCATGTCCTTTGTCTCTGTGGACTGGAAACTTCACTCCTGACCCCCCACACCTGCCCTCTAGGCCTGAGCCTGCAAACAGGCCCACATGAGGTCCAGTTGGGGTTCAGCTGCAGCCTGGGAGCCTCCACATTGAGGTCCCTGCTTTCCTGAGGTGGCCTACCTCCTCCCCAACTTCAGCATCCATCCGGCAGCCTGCCTGAGCTGTGGGGAGGACCTGGGATTCTGAGGTGGAACCGGGGTGCACGGTGGCTGCTGGTGTGGGGGAGCTGCCTGTTCTTACCCTGACCAGAGACCTGTCACTCACTGGCTGGGGGACAGCAAGAGACCCCAGCCTAAGGGGAGGCTCTACTTGGGATTATGTTTCAACACCTGTCCCAGGTGCTTACTTGGCTGGTGTTCTGGGACGCGGAGCAGAGGCAGCCCATGGTGGGACTGGGTGGAAGACCCTGGTTACCCCCGCAGGTGCCTCCTGCCATCAGTCATTCCATGCAAGACAGAGCTTCCACACCAAGGTTTCTCCCAGAGCATCAGTGCTGTTCCTGGGAGGCATGGGGAGTTACCTGCTCTGCTCAGGCCGGACCCAGAAGGTCTGGGATCAGACTAAGAAAAATATTTTTTTTATTGATTTCAGAAAAAAAGGGAGCAGGGGGAGATAGAAACATCAATGATTGATGAATCATTGATTGGCTACCTCCTGCACTCCCCACACTGGGAATCGCCCCCAACCCTGGGCAAATGCCCTGACTGGGAATCAAACTGGAACCTCCTGGTTCAAAGGGCAACACTCAACCACTGAGCCACACCAGCCAGGGGAGAGGGTAAGACTCTTGAAGTCGAACTGCCACTGTCCTGCTATTCCAGCTGCTGAGGTGTGGTGCTCACTTGAGCTCTATCCTGAGGCCCAGCTGCTAGGACTGACCGCTCCATGGCTGGGGGTTCCGAGTGCTGCTCTGAGGGGCTGCTGTGGTGACATTCCTAGTCTGTAACCCCTTGTTGGAGGGGTCTGCCTGCCTACCCAGGAAATAGGGCCTCCTGTCTCAGCTGCAGCCTTGTCCCTTGCGGGCTCTGCCTGGGCTCCCCGCTGCCCTCTGGGGTTGTAGTCTCCACTGTCACTATCCAGCATGTGGCTGCAGGGGCTCCAGTGGAAGACGTGTGCTGGGGCTGGTCTGCAAAGAGCATGCAGGCGCCTCTCCTCTCTACCCGTCACTAACAGCCCTGTCAGCCTCGGCACCCATCTGCGGGGCCTTTTGCTGCCCGACTGCAGATGGACCAGCACCCTGGCAGGCAGCCGTTTTCAGGGAGCCCCGGCCCGGGGAGTCACAGGTAGCGGGGTGGTCCGGGGAGGCTTCCCCAAGGAGGTGGTGTGGGCGCTGAGGCCCCGTCCCGGGAGAAGGGATGCGCCAGGGGCTTGGCTGCCGCCTGCAGCTGTTTCCCACGACTGTCCCCTCTTCGTAGTAGAGAGCTCTGCCAGGGTGCGGGGGCGAGGCTGGGGAAGCCTGCATGTGGTGAGCGGGTGAGGAGGCTGGGGCGCTGGTCGGGCCATCACCATCCTGGAGCGCGTCCGCGTGCAGGGCACGCGCGTGTTCCGGCCACGCGTGCGGCGGGGGCGGGCGGCTCGGTGACGCGGCGCCAGGCAGAGCGGGCGGAGCGCACGGGCCGGGGCGGAGCGGAGTCATCCGCAGAGCAGCCCCTCCCGGCCGCGGCCGTCGACCCCGGACCCGGCCCGGCTCTATGGACAGGAGCTCGCTGCTGCAGCTTATCCAGGAGCAGGTGCGTTGGGGTAGAGGGGCGCCGGCACCGCCCCTGCCATTGGGGTGGGCTGGGGAAATGGAACTCGCAGCGCCTCAGCCCAGCCCCCGCTCATGCCCATTCCCCACACCCTCTTATGCACGACCTTGGCCCACTGCCTGAGACCCCAGGAAAGGGTGAGCCAGACCAGGACGCCTGAGGAGGGGCAAGGGGGGTGGGCGACTGTCCTCAGACTTTAGCCCTACCCTTCCAGGATGGACAGAGCCAAAATGAGGTGAGGAGACCCCTAGAGGCTTGGGACTCAGGAACCGGTTCCCTGGCAGCTCCTGAGACCACGTGGGCACAGGGATCTAGCCCAAGGGTGTTGGGAGACTGCCTTTTCCAGCTGGCTTGGGGCAGCCCTTGGGTCTGTGGGTCTGGTCCACCCTCAGGCCTTGGCCAGCATCACCTCCTCCACCCCCCACCCCAGCAGCTGGACCCTGAGAACACGGGCTTCATCGGTGCAGACACCTTCACTGGCTTGGTGCACAGCCATGAGCTACCCCTGGATCCAGCCAAGCTGGACATGCTGGTGGCCCTGGCCCAGAGCAATGAGCGGGGCCAGGTCTGCTACCAGGAGCTGGTGGACCTGGTCAGTGCTCAAGTGGGTGGGCAACAGGGGTGGGGGCCCAGGCCGTGGCCCGCATAGTGCCTGGCGAGTTGGGTGGGCAGGTAGCCCCTCTTTCCTTACCTCCCCGCTGCAGCAGGGCTGCAAACCCTGTGAGGAGCTGGGCAGACCAGGTGGGCACGGAGGTCGTGGGGGTAGTGTGATGCCCCATGCTTAGGCCCCCCCCCCCAGATCAGCAGCAAGCGCTCAAGCAGCTTTAAGCGGGCCATCGCCAATGGACAGCGGGCACTGCCCCGGGAGGGGCTGCTAGACGAGCCGGGCCTGGGTGTCTATAAGCGGTTTGTGCGCTACGTGGCCTACGAGATCTTGCCCCGAGAGGTGGACCGCCACTGGTACTTCTACCGGCACCGAAGCTGCCCACCCCCTGTGTTTATGGCCTCGGTCACTCTGGCCCAGGTGAGCCTACCCCCTGTCTGCCACCCACATCCCTGGCCTGGCCCAGTCCTAATGCCCTTCTCTCCTAGATCATCGTGTTCCTGTGCTATGGGGCCCGTCTCAACAAGTGGGTGCTGCAGACCTACCACCCTGAGTACATGAAGAGCCCTCTTGTATACCACCCCGGGCACCGGGCGCGGGCCTGGCGCTTCCTCACCTACATGTTCATGCATGTTGGGTGAGTGCCGGCCTGCTTCTGGCACCCGAGTTCAGAGGCTGGGGCTGGGAGCCTGATGACTGAGCACACCCCTCATACCCATTTGCCTCTACGTGACCAGGCTGGAGCAGCTGGGGTTCAACGCACTCCTACAGCTGATGATTGGGGTGCCCCTGGAAATGGTGCACGGCCTGCTCCGCATCAGCCTGCTCTACCTGGCTGGCGTGCTGGCAGGTGAGGCAGGCACATAGCCCCTGGCCACCTCACTGAAACGCCTCATCCTCACAGCCCTCCCCTTGCTTCACACAGGCTCCCTGACTGTCTCCATTACTGACATGCGGGCCCCTGTGGTGGGGGGCTCTGGCGGAGTCTACGCCCTGTGCTCTGCACACCTGGCCAATGTCGTCATGGTAATCAAACAACCTGGGTGGGCTTGGGCGGGGGGGCCCCACAAGGCTTGCCTCACTGCCTGTCTCATGTCCCATCAGAACTGGGCTGGGATGAGGTGTCCCTACAAGCTGCTGAGAATGGTGCTGGCCCTGGTGTGCAGTAAGTAGGGATGAAAGGTGCCGGAGGCGGGCGGGAACTGAGCCCAGGGCCAGGGGTGCCTCCCATGTGTCAACTCCCTCTGCAGTGAGCTCCGAGGTGGGCCGGGCTGTGTGGCTGCGCTTCTCCCCGCCACTGCCCGCCTCGGGCCCACAGCCCAGCTTCATGGCGCACTTGGCTGGTGCGGTGGTGGGGGTCAGCATGGGCCTGACCATCCTGCGCAGTTATGAGGAACGCCTTCGGGACCAGTGCGGCTGGTGGGTGGTGCTGCTTGCCTACGGCACCTTCCTGCTCTTCGCCATCTTCTGGAATATCTTCGCCTATGACCTGCTGGGTGCCCATATTCCTCCACCACCCTGAGGAGCTCCTGGGGGGCCACACGGGCCAGGGCGTGGCCTGCATGTCCACCTTCTGTGAAAGTATGTCTTAAGACTGCTTCTCCCGTGAGGGCAGGTGGCCCCTGTGGCCTACTGAGTCCAAGCCAAGCCTTACACCAGCCCTGGCCCCCCTCCGAGGCCTGGGGGTGTTAGGACTGCTGGGCCAGGCTGGGTGGTGGAGGTCCCAAGGGTGGTCCCAGAGGAGACCCTGTCCTGGTCTCCCTCCATGACTTGCAGTCTGAGCCTTTTTGGAGAATAAATAAATATTTTACACAACACCAGGTAGCTGTAATGGGGCTCTGGGGGCTGGTCTGGCCTCCCCTCAACTCACTGAGCCGACTATGAGGGCTCTTCCCTCCATGTGGGCAGCCTGGATTCCCCCTTGCTCCTCTGCAGGCGTATGAGGTATGTCTGTGTGAGAAGTGGGAGCCCCTGGAGAGGGGCTGTGGACCTCATGGTCTGGAGTGAGTTCAGCAAGCATTTATTGAGCTCCTACAGTCACCTAGCAGGTGAGCAGGCCATAGTCAAGTTCACTTGGACTGGGTCCTATACTTCCTGGCTGGCCTGGTATCCTCAGGGGTGGCTAGGCTAGGGCTGAGATCAGGGAGCAGGTTGGGAGCAGCTTCTACCCGACAGCCCAGGTCCATAGTGCTAGTTCCACAACCCTAAGGCACTAGCTGGGAGGTGCACAGGGAATCTGGGGCCCAGGGCACCCTGTCCTGGGGAACAGCTCTGTACACTGCATCCTGACCAGAGTCCTGAATGTCCTCCTAGCCTACCAATAGTCCCCTCACCTGGGCTCAGGGCTGTGGCATGCTTCCACACCTGGCCCAGGTACAGCTGGAAGTACCTTGAGTATACTGCAGGGCTGGCAGGCCAGGTACGGGGGTCCACTGCCTCATTGGAGCTGCAACAGCTAAGACTGCTGGGGGAAGTGAAAGGCCAGCATTCAGACCCGCCAGTGTCAGAACAACGTCGGTGGGGGCAGCCATTATCAATGACCCTCCATGTCATGGATGTGACCATCGGTTCATCTCACAAAGTCACTGACTGGTCCCTCCTGTGACCCGCCCATACAACCAGCTCTCCCCACTAACCTTGAGGCCTTGGAGGGAGGCGGCGGCCCAGCGCTTTGCTACGAGCTCTGGGGGTCACCGGCTGCTGCAGGCGCGGGTGGCAGCGGCCCTGTGCAGCAGAGTTGGGGTAGGTGCAATGGTCACTGGTGGTGGACCTCGACAGGAGGGCCTGCCCCACCACAAGAAGACTCACTCCCAGGAGGAAGCCCCGTCCCACTGCGCAGGGGCCGCCGCCAAAAGGAAGCCCCAACACCAGGAGGCGGGCCGCCCGCTGAGGTTCCGCCACCCACGTGGAAGCCCCTCATCGCCAGCTTCCACGCCAGCAGCAGCGCCAGCTCGTCACGTGCTTCGCTCCGCCCTCGATGGCCGCGGGCAAATCCTCTGGATGCCTGGGGAAGGGCGGTGACGGCCGTCTGGGCAACGAGGCCGCACTGTCCAGGACTTCCAGGCCCCCGCGCGAGGCCGCAGCACCTCTCCGTGGTGCGCCAGGATGGCTGCTCGGCAGCCCGGGTCCTCTCCGTCCCACAGCCCGCGGGCGGCCGCCAAATCCACGCGCCAGGCTGGGCCTCGATGGGCGTGGGCGGCCGTGGGGCGTGGGCGGGGCCGACTTCTGGAAGGACCACCCCCGGACGCGAGGGGCGGAGCTGCCTGGTGCAAACCTAGGCGCGCCTCCAGACTTCCGACGTCGCGGCTCACGTTGCCCCCACCCTCCAGCCCATCAGCCCCGCCCCCACAGGGCGACGTGCGCACGCGCGGCCCCGCCCACCCCGCTGGCACGGATCCGTCCCGTTCACTCCGCCCCACGCGGCCGGAAGTTCCGGTGGCGAATCGCTGGACCGGGCCCGAGCGGATCGCGGGCTCGGGCTGCGGGCTTGGGCGACCCGGGCGCCGAGTCTGGGAGCGGATCCCAGGCCGTGCCGCGCGGCGCCATGAAGGGCAAGGAGGAGAAGGAGGGCGGCGCGCGGCTGGGCGCAGCTGGCGGAAGCCCGGAGAAGAGCCCGAGCGCGCAGGAGCTCAAGGAGCAGGGCAACCGGCTCTTCGTGGGCCGCAAGTACCCGGAGGCGGCGGCCTGCTACGGCCGCGCCATCGTGAGTGCACCGGCGCCGGGGGAGGGGACCGGCGTCCGGGCCAGAGGAGGGGGTGGGGCCGGGCTGCCCGGCCGCCCTTTTCGGACCTTAGGAGGGCCGTGGTTCTGACGGGGAAGGAGCACGTAGGCTCTGAGGACTCGATGATCTCGTTGCAAAGGTGCCAAGGCTGAACCCAGGGCTGGCTTGCCGGAGACCTCTGTCGGGTGGGAGCTTCAGGGCGCTTGAGGCCGGCAGGGCCAGGGACCCCGTCCAAAGCCGGGGGCCTCCACAGTTCCGGTACACTTACCTTTACAGAACCTACTGGAGTTGAGAGGGCTCCCGCAGGCCCCAGGGCCCGGACACCACCCTCCGCCCGTCCTCAGGCCTCAGGCTTTGAAGCTGTAAAACCTCTAGTGTCTTGATTTCAACCATGGACCCCAAGGCAGGACAAGGCCTGGGACAGAGGGGGCAGGCTGAGTTCGCTCCCTCACGCTGACTGGCCTGCGTTGGTCCCCCAGACCCGGAATCCCCTGGTGGCAGTGTACTACACCAACCGGGCACTGTGCTACCTGAAGATGCAGCAGCACGAGCAGGCCCTGGCTGACTGCCGGCGCGCCTTGGAGCTGGACGGGCAGTCCGTGAAGGCACACTTTTTCCTGGGGCAATGCCAGTTGGAGATGGAGAGCTATGATGAGGCGATTGCCAACTTGCAGCGAGGTGGGTCTGCAGGCTGGCTGGTTATGGGGGTGCTTGGGACCAGGTGGGTGGACTGGCCAAAGGGTGACCTGAAGCCTCTGTCCCCCCAGCCTACAACCTGGCTAAGGAGCAGCGACTCAACTTTGGGGACGACATCCCCAGTGCTCTGCGCATCGCCAAGAAGAAGCGCTGGAATAGCATTGAGGAGCGGCGCATCCACCAGGAGAACGAGCTGCACTCCTACCTCACAAGACTCATTGTGGCCGAGCGTGAGAGGTGGGCTGTGAGGACAGACTCTGGGGACCCCTCTCCCCTGCCCCCAACAAGTCACCACTTTAAGTCATGAACACAAGTGTTTATTGAAGGCTAACCCTGGTGAACAGCAGACAGAGGGGGAGCAGGTCTGAACAAGCCTGAGGTTGGGGTGGAGTCTGACCTTTCCTGGCCAGATCTGTCTCTGACCAGCTCCTGGTCAACCCCCAGGGAGCTGGAAGAGTGTCAGCGGAACCATGAGGGTGATGAGGATGATGGCCACGTCCGGGCCCAGCAGGCCTGCATCGAGGCCAAGCACGTGAGGGTGCCCCGGCCCACGTGTGGGTCTTGTGTTTGTGTGCACATTCTGTGAGGGTGCCCTGGCTCCTGTGTGTGTCTGTGTCTGGGGAAGGGAGACGGGAAGTCTGGCCCATGCATGGCTGCTTGGTTATTTGCAGGACAAGTACTTAGCAGACATGGATGACCTCTTCTCCCAGGTGGATGAGAAGAGAAAGGTGAGTTGGCTGTTCTCTAGGGCCTGTAGGTAGCAGGATCTGTAGTAGCGTCCCCTTCCTGATCCCTGACCCTTGTGATGCAGAAGCGAGACATCCCTGACTATCTGTGTGGCAAAATCAGCTTTGAGCTGATGCGGGAGCCGTGCATCACACCCAGTGGCATCACCTATGACCGTAAGGACATTGAGGAGCACCTGCAGGTGAGGGCCCATGGGTGCTGGGGGCAGGGCCCCAGCCCACCAAACACTTTCTGACTCTGTTGTCACTGCAGCGTGTGGGCCACTTTGACCCTGTGACCCGGAGCCCTCTGACCCAGGAACAGCTCATCCCCAACCTGGCCATGAAAGAGGTCATCGATGCATTCATCTCTGAGAATGGCTGGGTGGAGGACTACTGAGGCACAGCAAGTGGGAGGGCAACTCCTCCCACCTCGCCTGGCACCCTGGCCCCGGAGAGCCTTGGGGCAGTACCCCTCCTCCGCTCCTGTATATAGTTTGTGTCCCTGGACCCCTACTCCAGTGTCCCCATCCCATCTTCTATCAGTTCTGCTGGTAGGCCACGAGCCCTCCCACTCCCTGCCCCCCCATTTCCCTTCTTGGCCTGAAACAGCAGGCTATGGTGGTTTTGGCTGAGGCTGCTGCCACTACTATCCTTGTAATAAAACCTGTGAGCAGTATAGGGGTGTGTGCTGGTGTGAGACTGGGCTCGTCGGCTGCCCGCTCTGGCTAGCTGAGGAAGGTAGAGATGAAAACACTGGTGTCAAGGTTGAGTGTGGCATGCCACCATCGGTCAGGGAAATACAGAACCTGGATTGGGTAGGGCAGAGATTAGCGGGGGTGGGGGTCGGGGGGGCCTCACTCCAACCCAGCCTGACCACCCTCTCCTACCAGCCACTGACCTCACCAGCCTGGATGGTGCACTCCAAGGGCCGTGCAGATGGTGTCAGGGCTGGGTAGGTGTCCTGGAGCCAGGCCAGAGTGGTCTTATTGGGGTGGAACTCCGGGGTCTTCTCAGGAGGATATAGGAACCAGCGCTGGGGGTGGGAGCAGCAAGGTCACTCTTTGTATTGTGGTCAGTGAGCCAGAAGTCTCAGTCATAACCCTATGCTGACCTTTCGTCCGTAGATGACTTCTGAGAACCCAGGCCCATGCCAGTGGAAGGGCACCCCAGAGCCAGTTCCTGTGGGGTTAGTTACGAGCAGCTAGTGACCAAACCCAATTTGCACTCCCCATCCCCCAAATCCCCTGGTCCTGTAAGGCACCCACCTGCGATCCCAAAGCTGTAAGCAGGAGTGGTACCCAGCAGACCGAATGGGGGTGGGATGTAATGCTGAAAAAGTGACGCCCACTCAGTGAAGTTGTTGTCCCCAAAGAAGTACAGAGTGTCTGTCAGCAAAGAACACAGGAGGAAGCAGGGGTCCTGGCACCTGGGCACTTCCAAGTGCCACCTCCCCAACCCACTGCCTCCAGCCCAAGTGCTCACTATTGCCTAGGGAGGTGGGGTCCTGGGGGTGCAGCTGCTCCACATACTCCTGGAAGAGTAGGTCCACTGCGGAGAGGGGGGGCGGGGGAAGGCCGGTCAGGACTGGTTGGTGCCTCCAGGATGCTGTCAAGCAGGCTGGGCTGCGAGGTGGAGCAGCTCACCTTTCTGGTAGGAGTAGGTGTTGGCAGTG